TTATTAGGCATTAATTACAATAATCTATAAAATAGTAGAATACGGTTTAAAAGGGTCAGAAATAACTAGGGTAGTATAACACAGTGGAAGATAAGGTATCTGGATTTTTTTTCCAATTTGTTCCCATGACCTCAGAAAATTTAAAAGAAACTTAGCAACTTGACTGCTAATAAAGGGGTTTCAATCAGATAAAAGGTGAGAGACGGGCCACTTATCAGGCTGACCAATAAAATTATGAAGGGGGGGCTAATTAAAAGATTCCTCTGCTCAAGATGTCAGTGACAGTAGAGCAAAATATGAGATATGGTTTCAGGGACCCTAGCCTGGCATGGGCGGAGTCATTCGACATGAGGCATCCATAAATATCTGCTTTACTGCTATATAAGGCAAGATGTCAGACCTAGGCTCTGTTGATCTGAGGAGCTCTGAGATGGAAAATATGCAGTGAAAGTCCTAGGGATGATATCTAAGGCTATGGGAGAACAAGTTCTGTTTGCTATTGCATGCAGGGACTGCCTATCAGTATCCTTTAACTTCTGGCATAGGAAGAGAAAGTCTTTTTTTTTTTTTTTGAGCCCCCGGAGGGGATTTTTTATTGATTTTTTTTAAACTACAAAAAACTACAACAGAAAAGGGGGTAAGGGAACTACATATATGGGAGAAAGTAAAGTACCCACTACTGACTAAAAACCCAAGAGAGGAGACCCTCCAACTAGCTTTAAAACATTAAGTCTTCTCATTGTTATTCTTTTTATGAACTGAGTCAAACCCTTTAAAAAAGAAAACCCTTTACCCTCAAGTTTACATTTAACTGCCCAATAACAGTATCCCCAATCATCCCCCAGAACCAAAGTTCTCAAAGGCACAAATCAGAGTCCTTCAGCCTTTACTTCTTCTTTTCCCTTCTCTTTCACAGCTTGTAGGGCCTTTTCGGGGCCGCTCCAGCTCGCCACTGGACCTGCTGTCCTCTTCTTTTTTCTCGTCCTCTGACCTTCCCAAATGTTCCTTTAGAAATACTTGAGCTTTAAGAACAGTCAATCTTTTCCTTCTTCTCTTTAATCTTAAATGTTACGCTTTCTGGAAATAGCCATTTGTATCCAATTGAATTTGTTTGGAGGAAAAGCACAAGTTCTTTATATTTCTTTCTACGTTGCCTTACTTCAAATGGAATATCCTTTAGCGTTCTAACAGCATTCTCCTCTGCCTTCAAGGGTGTTGCCACTACTGCTTTCAGGATAGCATCCCTGACGTGCCTCTTCGAGAATCTTACTACAATCTCCCCAGGCAGATTGTTTTTCTTTATATATCCTGAATATGACCTGTAGGCTACATCCATGTCGTTGAGTAGCAATTCCGCTTTTATTTCTGTTACTGGGGCGAGTAGCTCACTCATAAGTTCTTTAAGATTCTCTGCTTTGTTCTCCGGCACCCCCTGGAAGCGCAGGACCATATTGGCCTTATCCACTTGGACTTGAAGCATTTGATCTTCTAAAGAAATAGTTTTCTTTTCCAATTTTTGCACTTTCTTCTTCACTTCCTGCGTTGATTCAGCCATTTCCTTTATTTTCTCAGCATCCTGCTTCATTACTTGAATCAAATCTGTTATTTGCGTTTGTTGAGCAGTAATGCTTGTTGTTACTACAGACAACTGCGTTTGTTGGGTTGTAATATTTGCTGTTACCACAGACATCTGTTCTTTGAAATTATTTAACTGTTCCAGTAGAGGGCGCATGCACTCAGCTACAGCCTTAGCCGTCTCACTGGTCGTTCTCGGCTTTGGGGACTCTACTTTCGTTTTTAAAAGTTTTTCTTTGTCTCTGTCCCTCTTCACCGCCATCTTTCCCCCCGTTTATTTACTTTCGGGATTTTTTTTGAAGCTTCTGAATATGCGCTTGACTGCTTAACTTGATTGGGTGAGTACTTCTGGGCAATCGCACATTTTTCTTCTGCTCCCCCCCCCCTTCGCTCAATGGTTTATGCGCATGGGAGGCAGCCCCCCTCGCTCGCTTTTCCCATTCCACGGGATAGGGTAGGGAGCGTCTTTTCTTTTAAAAATCGTTTCTCAGTTGACTCACGTTCATAGTTGGTCTTCCGACCCCGCTTCTTTCATCATTTTTCACGCCCAATCTCCTGCGCTTGATCCGGTTAGCTTCACTTGTACCATTTGGTGTCTCAGCTGGAAGAACCACTGGAGCAGAGGGGAGCCTCGATTCTCTGGCATTCCGCCATCGAAGAGGCTACCCCTTAAAGCTCCTTGGCCAGGGTCCCTTCGCCGGGCCCCTGGGGGGGTTTACGAGCCTGCTCACCGCCTCCTTCCACTAGAGCACAGAGACACCCCCGGGAGGTCCGGGAGGTGAGTCCGTGAGCGTGCCACCATCAACCGGAAGCCTCCTCGCAAGAGAAAGTCTTGATGGCTTCCAAGCATATACATCCCAACAAGTGGTACTCCCATTGATTTAATTTTCCTTAAACTTGATACAACCAATTGCTAGAGTAAGTATCAGAGAACATAGTATATATGTAGCTAGGGCATTCTGATAAAAAAATGGATGCACAACCAGAACTTTAAGCCAGGCCCTCATCTCTGAGAGACACAGACCAGTCTCCAGGCACATGGCTGCATATCCAACACAATTTGGAATGCCCAGGGTACAATGTAGGAATAATGCTTGAATCATCACAACTCTCTGATTAAAAGCACTAATCCAAATAGGAGTTCCATAGAGCAGTTGGGCTACAGGTTTAGCATTAGAAACACTAATAGCAGCAGAGACGTATTGGTCCCCATGGGAACAAAAGAAGCAGATCACAGCTGACATACTACACTTTGCCAGGTTGAGCGTGATTTTGGTGGTATGTCCATTTGTTGTTGTATTGAAAGGTGACTCCTTGGTATCTGTAGAATTTCACTTGTTTGATAAATCTGCCCTTTACATTCCAGTGGTGACATCTCCAAGTGTTTTTGATCTTTCAAAATTGACAAGGAGTAGGTTAGAATCACAATGGTCTACAAATGTAGTCAAAAGGCTCTTGAGGCCCAATTGCATGCAGGATAGTACCATGGTATCATCTGCATAGAGTAGAAGAGGAATGTTGTGCCAGGCCACCCACAGTCCTCAAGGTAGGTGCTAGGTTGTTCATAAAGGGATTGAACAAGTAAGGGGCCAATACACATCTTTTTTTGACCCCCAGATTGGTGGGGATCCCACTGGTTAAATCTCCCTGGCAGCTGGTTAAAGAATATCGTTTGTAAATAAGAAAGACTAGTCTTTTGTCCTTGAGAACCTTATCCAATTTGCTCCACAATAAACTTCTAGATGTCGAGTCAAAGGCCCCCTTCAGGTTGGTAAAAGCACAGTACAATTCCCGCCCCTCCATATTTCTCTGCTGAGTGGGCAAGCTTGATACAATGATCAAGCAAGGATCTATCAGAGCCCAACACTTTTTGGTCACGAAACCACGAGGATAGTTTGGTCAGCAGGTGGTGTGCATAGGGTTTCCCAACAATTGGTTCTCCCCCTGCCTGCCAAAGAGAGGCACAGGAGAACTCAAAGACAGAAAATCTGCCGAGTCTAACTGGAGAAACTCTTTTCCAGAATGTTCTTTTCCACTCAAAGACAAAAACTTCTCTCTACATATCTGTCTCATAGATGCTTAGAGAGGAATGTTATTTCCCTAGGCAAATTGTAAATGTACCATTCTGGCATTGCTGTTGGTAAGTCCCAGCGAGTGGTGAAACATGAGGAAAGAAACGGGATGAAATTAAATCCCCCAGGCAATTATTCAGGCATGCATGATAGTAACAGCATGTGAAAGTGCATAGCAGATGTATAGCTGGGTACGTTTTGTAGTGTTTTAAGTAATTGCACTGAAAATATCTGTGTAAATGTGTTTAAAAGTTGGTTAGGTCTATGGAGGCCGTGTTTCTTGGTATCCATTATTTCGCTATGAAAACTTTGATGCTAAGAGTCCACGTGAGCAAAAGTTAAGGGTATCTTTTACAAGCACTGAAAAGTTCCTTGTGAAATACCCAAGGACAATGGAAATGAGCTTCTCCCTGTAGCATATTCCTTTTTTATTTACCTTTAGAGAATGTAATCTCAAGCTTTTGTCTGGCCTATGCAGGATTTATCCTTTAATCTATTTCCCCCTATGACTTAGTTGCTCACTCTCTGTTTTTGCCCCACTGCTTACATCTCTGGCTTTATTGCTTCGGTTTAATACCTCCTCATTCCAGGTTCTTGACAGATTCTATGCTGTCTTCCTTCAAGAGAGAGGCAGGGTGTGGGGATGGCTTTCTTGTATTTCCATGGAACCCTTCTGCTATCAACTCTTTAAATAACCCTACATTTTCTTACAGCTAATGAACTGCCAAAGGCAGTCTTATTTACTTCGATGCGGGTGCTAAATTTTTGTTCAGCACATAAAAAAAATTTCTTTAAAAAGCTTTGTGCAGTGTGCTAGAACATGCTGAAGCTGAGGTTGCTGGTGATAACAGCGTAATATTTTTGCATTTTCATATGAGTAACGGCTGCATTTTACAAATGGTCTAAAGCAGAAGTGTTTGAATCTATTTCCCAAGAGAGGCCTTTTCATAGTGAGTTACTGTGCATACAGTAGCCACAGAAGAGGCTTGATGGCCTCTATTTTTTCTTTTGTTGTTTGTGGAGGTGGTGTTACACTTCTGTTGCATTCTAGCATCCCTCCAGAATCAGTTTACCATTTCCTGTTGCCTCCTTCAAATGGAGGCTGTGTCTCTTCATTTGCAACTCGCAGCTCAACATTTGGTAGAGATTTTATTGCTTAAGAGCGCAGCTGTATGTTTCGTAGCTGTAGTTGTCCTTTGAACAAATGGAACCTTCAATTTAACACAAGTCATGTTTCTGTGCAGTCTCACATCTGGAGTACACAAATGCCAGCGTGCAGTAAGGCTCTTGAGTTTGTACAGACTCACAAGCCTCCTCTCCCCACATCCTTATTTTTTATCTTTATTTTTACAGTAGCATTATCGATTCCACAGAATACAACCAGACTCCTGGATTTAGTGGCAGTTCCCAGGTAAGAAAATATACCTTGTTATGTACAAAGCCAGGTAATAAGAGGATTTCCCCCTTTCTCTGGGAAAGGAAAAGATAAGGGTGGTAGTTTAAATAAGTGACACAGATATAAAAACGAGTGTGTTGCAGTTATGCAAGATGTCATGACATGCATAAAGGGATCCTTCAAAATGTAAGCAATGAAATGGTATATTAAATTATACACATGAAGTAGAGTAGTTCTGCATGTATTGTCGTCTTTACTGCATATACGGAATGAAGCTATTTGGGTTGTATAGTTAATTTGGAAGAAAATGGTCAAGTCAAGGGAAGGGTGCTCAGATGTAGTAGAAAACAGCCTATGATTTTATAGTGTGGCTTTGCTAAAAATATATTATGTCAGACGAAACCTCTTTATTTTATGTGCTGATGCTTAGTCCCTAATATTCTGGTCCCAAGATCTATTGGGGGTTCTTGAAAAAAGATCCCATTTATACTCATGCCTATACTTTGGTAGAGGTATATTCTGATTAGCACACACATCTGGAAGTTTTGTTGTTGTTCAGTTGCACAGTCGAGTCCGACTCTTCGCGATCCCATGGACTAGATCACACCAGGCCTTCCGCCATCCGCTGAAGTTTGCTCAATTTCATGTTCGTTGCATCGGTGACACTGTCTAACCATCTCATCCTTTGCCGTCCCCTTCTTCTTTGACCTTCAATTATTCCCAGCATTAGGGTCTTCTCCAGTGAGTACTCCCTTCTCATTTGGTGGCCAAAGTATTTGAGCATCAACTTCAGTATCTGGCCTTCCAGGGACAGTTAGGGTTGATTTCTTTTAGGATCGACTGGAAGTAAGGCTATGGAAATCAAAGTGGTTTTTGCTTCAGCGTAAATCTGTCTGGCATCTGTCAGGGTAATGTGTGAGATTCACAAGGGTCATACCGATATTGTGCAAAAACCTTTGAAACAAAAATGTGAATGCACATATAGTGGTAACTTTTTTCCAGTTTAAAATCTACATTGCTAGTTAGAGTCCTGCATCAGTACTGTAATTAAAAGAGAGCTTGCATTTCTACAGCGTTGATAAAATCAATTTGGGAGTGAGGAGGCAAGAAAAATTCAGGCCTGCCTAGAAAATTTATAGGTAGACTTTAATGTGAGCAACTCAGTATCTATTGGTCCCGTTATTTTAAAGAGTTTGCAGAATGATTTCTGAGCATGTAATTCCCGGCTTAAAGTCCCTATGGATTCAGATACTGAAAACTTTCTTTTACAAATTTGAAACTACAGCACAGTTTTACAGCCACCCTTCCTTGGGATGTTATATCATCTTGTATTTGTAAAACTGCGAGGCCTGTCTTAAAGTGCTGAATCTAACTTGAATGGCTTCTGCTGGAAACAGAGGTGTTATGTTTCTGCTAACCTCTGTGTTTATAATAAAGCAGCTGGCATTGGCAATTGTATTCAGAGGCTGTGTGTAATTGCATTTGATTGCCAAGTCAATCCTCATTCTTAAGTCATTGACATTGTTGGAATGGGCAGTGGCACAGGCTCCACAAATTTATCTTGTGTAGGTTCAGATACCTCCCAAAAGTCTTGGTTCTGGCAAACGGCAAAACATCAGAGTAGTTACAGGCAATGCTCTCTCTAAGCTATGGAGTCTTATGAGCAAAAATTCTACTTTGTGAGCTACTGGCATTAAAGTTGTGGGTGAGCGATTTGGCTCCTGCATAAATTAGTTTGCTGTGGAGCCATCCTGCCAAAAATCTGTGAGCTGGAGGCTAAAAAACGGTGAGCTAGCTCAGCTTAGAGGGAACACTGGTTACAGGTCCCCTGGTTTGAGTTTCTTCAGTCAGGTTTTCAGTTTTGAATCTGTGCGGCAAGTTCAAGGTAACTGTGCTAGAACTCACATGCTTTGAAAACCTAGCTTTGTGAGAAAGGGAGCCTGAAATATTTTGCAGGGCACTGTTTTCTTATGATAGAAATGTTTTTAATGTTTCAGTTCTCCAGCTTTGGGCAGATGGCATTTCTTATATGATGGCATGATATCATAGTTGTAGAAAAGTTGCTTTTGTATGGTCTGTTCATTGGAGTGCTGTGATCTGAATCCATACGCCTTAGGCATAACGATAGATTTGTTATAATTGCTACCTTCACTCGACAAGAATTACAGGTAAATCAATCTTTTTTTCAGCGTGTCGCATGGGAATGTCATACAAGGCTGGTGCAAACAGTAACACTTGTTCTGTTTCTTTATACATCTGAAATGTCTAAATACTGTTTATGTACTGAGCTGTCATAACTGCCAAAGAGGCGAAGGAGGGGGCCTGTGTCTTGCTTCTGAACTTTCCCCCTCTTGTTTCATACAGACTAAAAAGCAGCCATGGTATAACAGCACATTAGCATCAAGGAGAAAGAGGCTTACGGCTCACTTCGAGGATCTGGAACAGTGCTACTTTTCCACTAGGATGACTCGAGTATCAGGTAGAACATGTTAGCTACAGACTGAAGTGCAGTGTTTTTGAATATGCCTCTAGTTCCCAATATCTTTTTCCAGTCCAGCATGGTAATTTGCTACTTTCTTACGGCAAGCAGCGGTTTCTTTAGGAAAGCAGACTGACAGCTACAGCAGTAGTGTTGTTACTCTGTTTTCCAAGTCAACTTTTTTGTGCACGTTTGTGTTATGGCCTGTTGTCCTCTTCCCGATTTATTCTTCCCCATCACCATCTGCCCTGTCAACCATATACAAAAGCTTCAGCTTTCTTTCATTCCTCCCTCTGTGGAAAAAAACCTCCCATCATTCTTCTTCCTGTAAAGTACTGTGAAAACCCTTCTGTTTGTCTGTTTTCTCTTAAATGCTTTGCTCTGCTCTCGTTGGACTGCTGTATTATTGCTTTTTGATTGCTTTTCTATTGGCTTTCAATTTATCATGAACATCCTGGAGATTATGAGGTCCATTTGGCATCATAAACATTTCAAAAACTGAAAACTAAAAAAATATATGATTCTCTTAGATTTCTCAATCCTGTCATCTGTTCCTAGCATTCCAGCGTCCAAATCATTTCATACCATATGGCACCCTTCCTCAAATCTCTACACCAGCTTTGTATCCCTATTTCCTTAATTTATAAGCTCTTCCCTGATTTTCCACACTCTACCTCCTTACCCTTATTACCTCTGGTCTTCCTTCTTATAGCCTCTGCTCTTTCAAATCTAAGATTTGCGCTCCTAAGCTGTTGCTCAAAAAGGTTAAACTAGGGACCCGCCAGGACTGTAAGAGCAGCTGCAATTAACTGCAAATACATTATATTCTTAGAGTGTGAAGTAATGATGTCTATTAGTATCTTGTTTATAAATGCATTTTGGGATCAGATATTCTACATGACAGTGGTGGAGGCTGCATTAGTTAAAACTGACATCACTTTGTAGAAGGAAATTTCTCTGCACCTTATTTATTTATTTATTTGATTTGTATCCCATCCTCCCTGCAAAGCAGTCTCAGGGCGGCTTACAAAACTGTATAAAACACTAAAGGTAAAGGTAAAGGTTCCCTTGCTCGAAAGCCAGTCGAGTCTGACTCTAGGGTTGCGGTACTCATCTCCGTTTCAAAGCCGAAGAGCCAGCGCTGTCCGAAGACATTTCCGTAGTCATGTGGCCAGCATGACTAAACACCAAGATGCACGGAACGCCGTTAGCTTCCCACCGAAGTGGTACCTATTTATCTACTTGCAATTTCTTTCTTTCGAACTGCTAGGTTGGCAGGAGCTGGAACTAGAGACGGGAGCTCACTGCGTCATGCGGCACACTCGGGTCTCGAACTGCTGAACTACTGACCTTCCACAGCCTGCAGTTCAGCGTCTTAACCACTTGAGCCACCGCAGCTCCTAACACTGTGCAACACTAAAACAAGAAGATTAATAAAATCACAACAGTGCAGTCCTAAGTATAATAACTTATAAAGTGCTAGTACAACTAATATAACGATGGCCAACGTTTGATTTGAAAACCAAGTTGCCTTTTTTAAGCTCAGTATCCAAAACTAGTGTTTATGTTCAGTTCAGTCACCTTTAATGGCATAATAGGAACAGTAAGACACATATAGTAGCAATTCCAGCAAACTAAAATATAGTAAAAATAATTAAAATACATACAATTCAATTTAAAAGCCTGTATCTGATTTTAATCACTTCAGCTAGAAACTTAGCAACCAGAGCTGTAATTTCAGGGTTGGTGTCATTTAAGAGATGTTGGATACATCTATCTTTATTAACATTACGATTAAAGATCAATGACAGGATTAAAGATCAAGTTCCTTGCGAGTGGTTGTATGAAATTGGCAATCTAAAATGATATGTTGAATTGAGTCAAGAGATTTTAAGGAACAATTACACATCCTTTCATGAAAGAGGTTTGTTTTTTTTTAATCTGCCCAATAGCATATTTGAGGGGAGGACATTTAATTGGGCTAGTGTAAATGCTCTACAGTGTAAAGGAACATCAAAACTGTGAATATACTTAGCCATTTGGTTATGTTGTGTTACAAGATTCAAAAAAGCCTGAGATGAAGATAGAGGACACAGTTTTTGAATTTCTAAATCAAACAGTCTTTGATTATCCGAAAGATGGCAGTTTTTTTCAACAAATAGAAAGATGGCAGTTTTTTTCAACAAATAGAAATCAATAGAAAAACTTAATTGGTGAATTTTCTTTTCAGTGCCTAAAAACCAATTAGCACGGTGTGGATCAGTTTTTAATTGTGACATGAGAGAGTTTGTTGAGGCTCTAAAATGTATTTTGAGCCAGTATTTGAAAACAGCTAACCAAATGTTCATTTCAATGAGGTGTTGACCCAGTTCGATGCATAATGCCGAATTTGTCTGGGCACACCTAGGAGTTGTCGAAAAAGATTTGTTTGGATACTTTCAAGGTCATTGTTAAACGCCTTTATCCAGACTGGTCAACCGTATAATAACTGTGATAGAATTTTGGCTTTGAAGATCTTTATTGCTGATGGAATGTATTGGTTCCCTTTGGTAAAAATGAATTGCTTAAGGAGGGAGGTAGATCGCTTGGCTACCGATATTCAAGTTCTATGTGTTGTCCAATTTAAGTTATATTGAAATGCGATTCCTAAATATTTGAAGTTTTTTACCTGGACAATTTTTGAAGTTTCCAACTTTTTGAGAAAACTAATACTGTGGATTTTGAATAATTGGTATTTAGTGTATTATCTTGACAAAACTTATAAAAAGCTTGTAAATATCTTAGGAGACCAATTCTAGTGCAAGAAAGAATAGTAGTGTCCTCAGCATAAAGTAGAAGAGGTACGACATGAGATCCCAGTTTAGGGGGATGGCTGTTGACAGGTTCCAGGTACGAGGCTAGATCATTTAAGAATAGGTTAAAAAGATGGGGTGCTAGGATACAACCTTGCTTCACTCCCTTATGAATTGGAATCTTAGTTGTTAAGTGTCCTTGTTCTGAGTATTTGACTTGACAGGAGGTAGATGAGTAGAGTTTTTAATCAAAATTAATGATCGAGGATCGATCTTCATTAGTTCTAATTTATCCCATAATAGTTGTCTAGATATTGAGTCAAATGCACTTTTCAAATCAATAAAGGCCACATACGGGTTTTTTTGTACCCGTTTTCATATATTTATCTGCTAAGAAAGCTAAAAGAGTACAATGGTCTAATGTGGAGTTGCCTTTAGAGAACCTGATTTGTTCAGGGCAGATGATATGATAAGAATAGATCCAATCTTTGAAGCGTTTTTCTAGATATTTGGCATAAAGTTTACCAATTATGGACAAAAGACTTATTGGGATTGCCTTTTTTAAAGACAGGGATAATGATGGAGTTCAATGAACCAACTATTTAAAAACCTTCGACTGTATCTTTCTCCAAGAAACTCTCCAAGAAACTAATAAGACTTAACATCAAGACCACTGTACTTTATTTAATGATTGTTTTTATGCTGTTTTAATTGTTTGTCATGGCATTTGCCTCTTTTGTTAGCCGCCCTGAGCCCATTTGGGGAGGGCGGGATATAAATCCAATAAATAAATAAATAGAGCTGAGAATCATCAGCATATGGATGACAACCTACTCCAAAACTACGAATGATTTGTCCTGAGGGCTTTACATAGAGATTGAAAAGCATGGAGGATAGAATTCCACCCTGTGGAATTCCACTATAGGTCCCACACTGATGACAACTGGTTTCCAATAGCAACCCTTTGAGTACGATCCATGAGGAATTATTTGAACCAGAATGAGCCTTACAGTGTGATTTCCAGATTTCCATAAGTGCTCTTTTCTTGCCCCGAATTAAATTGGTGTACTGCTGCATATCACAGGAAATGTTCATAGACCTTCAGGTACTACATAAATGGTCCCTTTTAGAGCTACCTCTGCAAAAATGCATTTCAAGTTAGTTTGAGATGAGTGTTTCTTGAAATGGAACTGGAAATGTTACTTCTTGCAATAGTCTGAAACTGTATTTGCCTCGTATTCTTGTGTTTAAAACCCTCAGTTACTTGTTTCTGTCTCATCTAGATGACAGCAGAACCTCAAGTCAACTGGATGAATTTCAGGAATGTCTGTCCAAGTTCACGCGCTACAATTCTGTCCGACCCTTGGCAACACTGTCGTATGCTAGTGACCTTTATAATGGATCCAGCATAGTGTCCAGGTAATGAATATCCATGTTTAAATGCTCATTTATTGTGAGAAATTGGTAGCTACGTAAGATCGAGAAAATCAAAGTTCCTTTTTTAATTTGCTGTCTTTCTGTGGCTGCAAGATTTTATGTAGGTAAATATTTCCAATAATGTCTGGTGTTTGTATTCTTTCCACAGCTTAATAAATTCACCAGCTGTAACTGGTGTGTACCCCTCACACATGCTTTCAGGTGTGTAGATGCTTTCAGAACTAGGTGTTGCAAGAATAAGTTTACATTTGTCGCCATCAAGAGAGCTGATTCCTTGTCTGTGATCCATTTTTACAGTGTTCATTGTTTTGATTTGTGGGACTTCCTACCTTGGTAGTTGACAGATGCTTGGTGAATAACTGGTATGTAAGTGGTTGCTGGTAAATGTAGACGTAATTTGTTAAATTCAGTGAGTACAGTAGTATTTGCCCAATACATTGTTCGAAAGCATTGGCTTGGACTAATATTTTGGAAAACTGAGCACTGGCACTGTAGCAGGAGCTTGCTGTGAGTAAAACGGAGTTAGATATGTAATCAATGAGAAAACTGCTGCGTTCTTGAATTGTGTTGCATCAACAGTAAATGTAGGGTGAAGCTGATTTTTGGCATGAAATCTTTACTGTACTCTCTTAATTGTAAAATCTTAATGTTTTGAAGAGCTGCCTTTGTATAAATTATGTAAAACAAATTTAGAGTCCAGTGGCACCTTTAAGACCAACAAATTATGTAAATTAGCTACCAATAAATGGTCGTGTTACTTATACTTAGGACTTATGTGGAAAGTTGGGTGTAAATATTTTAAACAAAATTCCTTAACAGCTCACCACTTGGATTAAACTTGTTCTTGTGCCTGTAGCTGTTTGGATGCCAGTACGTCTGTCCTTGTAGCACAGTAGCTGTTCCTCTTGACAAAAGCTTTCTTGGAGGAACTCCTCTTTTCTTTTATCTGCATATTCAAAATGTCTTTCTGTTGAACTCTTAAAATGCTTAAATAATCCTAGGACTGGATTTATTGCTAGAGGGTAGCAAACTTGGTACTAACAAATGCCTTAATGTTGAGTTCAGGTGTGATGTGTTTATTTTTTGAGCGGAACTTGTATTCTTTAAAACAAATAAGCATAGCACTCTGCATGAGATATGCATACATGTTGTGTAGACATGTTGTGGTTGTGCATGTGTAGACATGTTGTGGATAGGAATCTGTCTGCACCAAGCCATTCTGTTATTTCTAATGTTGTTTAAGAACTTGAGTGCAGGCTGTGGGATTTGTGGCTTCTTTCCTGGCCTCCTCCTTGCATGAGCTAAGTCCAGTAGCCTTATTCATGGCTAATGTTAGCCAAAGGTATCCATTGTTAACAGTATTGATATTTGTTGGGTGGGAAGAAGGAGGTGGGGGAATTTACATATGGGAAGGGAGAGGCCAGGAGGAGAGTGCACAGTTCCTTAACCATGGTTAAAAGGAAGTGTTGCCCTTGTACAAAACCAAATTTTCTGTTCCCTTGTTTGGTATATTGGCATACTTTGCTGTTAGAGAAAGTTTGCTGTTCTTTCTACTTAAAATGGTGCTTGAATATTTGACCTCCATGTATCCTGTGTAAGACAGAATATTGTCTTAAGAGTGTACCTGAGTAGTCTGAACAAAGGTCAGCAAAAGATGTTGCTTGGTTTAACCTCAGATTAAGGCTACCGAGATTATGCATATATGTGTTTTTGGGATTAAATCTGGCAGTACTCTATGGGGCTTAGTTTTGAGTGGATATGCATTGAATTGGGCTGCTGAATCAATTTCAGTCTGTGAAGCTGAAGGCCAAATAACTGGCCTCCAGGATTGTCTTAAATTAGTAGTTTTATTTTAGGGTGAGTTTGTAGTATTTTTTGGTTTTGGCTGATGGCTGTAGTTCAAGATTACTGTATTATATGTTGTTGAAGGCTTTCATGGCTGGAGTTCATTAGTTGTTCTAGATTTTCCAGGCTGTATGGCCGTGGTCCAGTGCCATTATTGTACCCATCTATAAGAAGGGACCACAACATAACCCTTCCAACTATAGGCCAATAAGTTTACTTTCTGTAATAGGGAGATTATATGACAAATTCTTACAACTAAAGCTCCTTAACGGGACCTCATCTTCTAAGATCCTTGGTCCTGAGCAAATAGGGTTCAGCCAGGGGAAGTCACCTCTTGATCATTGTATTCTCCTCTCTCACTTGATAAATAAATATTCAAAAAGAAGAAAGGCCAAGCTTTATGCTGCCTTTCTAGACTTTAAAGGGGCCTTTGACTCTATTTTGAGGAATTTACTCTGGAGGAAACTTAATCATTTGCTTCCTGATAAGAGATTACTGTTCCTTATCAGGAAATTGTATACGGCTACATCTTGTCAGATTAGATGCCCTCCCTCTGGAAGACTTACACCAATTATTAATATAAATAAAGGGGTTAAGCAGGGCTGTATTTTGGCCCCTTCCCTTTTCAATCTTTTAAAAAAATGACTTTGCCCCTTTTCTGTCTTTAGTCGATGGACACAGCCCTAGACTTGGCTCTACGCATATATCTTTACTGCTGTACGCTGATGACGCAGTCCTTTTGTCATCGACTCGTTTGGGGTTAAAGCATTTACCGTATTTTTCGGACCATAAGACGCACCTGACCATAAGACGCACCTAGTTTTAGAGGAGGAAAACAGGGAAAAAAATATTCTGAACCCTGGGGCTGTCATTGCAGTTCCTGAAAACTCCTGGCACACCCTGGGGCTGTCATTCCACTCCTGGCCCTGTCATTGCAGTTCCTGAACACTCCTGCTCCACCCTGAGGTTGTCATTCCAGTCCTGGCCCTGTCATTGCAGTTCCTGAACACTCCTGGCACACCCTGGGGCTGTCATTCCACTCCTGGCCCTGTCATTGCAGTTCCTGAACACTCCTGGCAAACCCTGGGGCTGTCATTCCACTGCGTGGCCCTGTCATTCCAGTCCCAGAACACTCCTGGCAAACCCTGGGGCTGTCATTCCACTCTTGGCCCTGTCATTCCAGTTCCTGAAAGTGGCCTGTCATTCCAGTTCCTGAACACTCAAGCTCCACCCTGGGGCTGTCATTCCACTCTTGGCCCTGTCATTCCAGTCCCAGAACACTCCTGGCAAACCCTGGGGCTGTCATTCCACTCTTGGCCCTGTCATTCCAGTTCCTGAATACTCCTGCTCCACCCTAGGCCTGTCATTCCACTCTCCGTGGCCTGTCATTCCA